TTGTTGGAGAGCATCCCTGATCACCACCATTGGCCTCCTTTTTAGCCATCTGTCACTAAAGCCTGGCGGTGAGAGGACCTGGTGCTTGCTACTCGGGGTAGGACCTCATCCTAGTAGTCAGCATTCATGATATGCTTCAGAAGAAGATCCCATATTGAGGACAAACATAAACTAATGCTCCACGTTTAATACAACATCAATTGAAGAATTTCCTTGTTTTTGGTTGGTTTGATTTTTTTTTCTTAAAGATATACTCATTTTGTGATCCAGGTTTTTTTTTTTTCTTTTTTTTTTTTCTGGAAAACATAAATCAAGGAAGGACATTAACATCCATCGAGTGTAATTCAGTATATGGAGTGGTGGTCTAGCTGTAACGCTGTGGAAACTTATGAGTATTACCTATAGAATAGGGATAAATAAGGATCTTTCAAAAAGTTGATAGCCCACAATACTCCTTCAGGGTGTAAAGCATTGTTATTTGTGCTTTAAGAACACCTACAGAAAGAGTCAACAAGTCAACAAAGCAACAGTCAACAAATGAATGCCATTAGGCACTTGCAGACAAACATCTCTTAAGAAAAACCTATTCTTGCCAAGTCAAACAATAACCCAAACCCTTTGCTTTTCAATGTGGAAGGTTAGAATGAAGAATCATATCCATTTTTCTTTCTTTTATGATGTCACTCTGGTAACTACTTTCGTAAGGAAGCAAAGGACATAATGTATTGTTTTTTTTTTTTTTTAAAGATTTTATTTATTCATTTGAGAGAGAGAAAAAGAGAGAGAGAGAGAGCATGGGTGGTGGCGGGGGGCGGGGGTGGGCAAAGGGAGAGTGAGAAGCAGATTCCCCACTGAGCATGGAGGATCCCAAGACCCTGAAATTATGATCTGAACCAAAGTCAGACATTTAACCAACTGAGCCATCCAGGCTCCACCAAGAACATAACATACTAATTGTTCCAAAGGTCTTAGAAAGAAGATTATCATGAAAAAACATTGAATTGGACATAAATACTGCTTGTTATAAAAAATTCCTTGAAAGGTGAAAATGTTTTCTGTTTTATTGGTACTGAACATTAGAATGGATACTTGGTCAACTCTATGTAAAAATAATCATTTTTTTTATTCAGTATATGCCTGACGGTACCTGACATTTTAGTTATACATTTCATAAGGCAGATAAGTTTAATAATATTGGTCAGTATTATTGTTCTCAGCATGAGATTTTCACAGACTACTCCAAAGCTTGCTAAACTATTGGATAACAAATGGGAAAATATCACACGACAGGCAATATTTATCCATCCAACAGGCAAAACAAGAAAATGGAACCCAGGCCTAGAATCCTCTAGTGTTACTCAATAAAGGCAAATTATTTATTGTCTTCTGTCCAGGAGTCCCATGGGGCATGAAATATTGATTTAGGAATTTGCTGGGCATGAACATCTGTGTGTTGTAACTATGTTCTTTTATATCACGTAATATATGATAAATTGTTCCTATGTATGCTGTGATAACACCAAAGAACAAATTAAATCTGGCTATTTAATAAACATGAATTAATAAATATTAAACTCTTTTTATAATTACTGGCTTGGGGTCAATAAAGTTCACTCCATGATGTGCAGGATTGCACAATGCATTGTTCAGATGCATGCCTAGCTTCATCTCTTCCCTCATCTTACGACAACACAGCCTCTGCTGCATGCCACACAAGCTGATTCCAATCTTTCTGTGAGTAGGATGTGGAGAGCCTGAGTGCTCTTCCTGGTTAACCTGGAGTTTTCCAAAGCCAGGACGTTGAGGGTTCTAGGTATTGGGGAGGGGCTAAAGGTGGGCCCAGAGGAAGTTTAGGGTGTGAGGAAGAGCAGGAGTTCTTTATTATCTGAGCAGAGGAATAAGAAGTCTGGAGCAAGTGTGAAGAAAAAAAATAATAAACCACGAAGATAAAGAATGCAGTCGTTTCATCAGCTAAGAATCTTTGTACCATTCTATATGTCTATCAAAAACTTGATGTTAAAAGTATGTGCCATATCATTCTACATGTCTATCAAAAACTTGATGTTAAAAGTATGTGCCACACAATAATGAACAGCATTAGTATCTATTTGTTTCATTGCTCTACTCATTTGGGTACTTACTATGTCAGATCAGCATAGCAATTACTATCCAGTCTGACTGGAGTCATACTGCTTGGGTTCTAATCCAGCCTCTGCTACTTGATAACAATGTGATTTTACCTCCCTTAGCCTCAGTTTCATCTTTCAAAGGAGGGTAACAAAAGTACCTCTCTTGTGGAATTATTACAAAGGAAAATAAGATACAGATACATAATATATGATGCATATGTGTATATGCATATATGTTCATATGTAAATATATCTTTTTAAAAAAGATTTTATTTATTAAATCATGAGAGAGAGAGGGGGAGAGAGAGAGAGAGAGAGAGAGAGAGAGAGAGACAGAGACAGGCAGAGGGAGAAGCAGGCTCACTGCAGGGAGGCCCAATGTGGGACTTTGATCCAGGTCCCCGGGATCACGCCCTAAGCCAGAGGCAGATGCTCAACCACTGAGCCACCCAGGTATCCCAATATATCTATTTTTATTTATACTTTATATTCACTTTAAACAGTGCCTGGCATACCTTTAAATCAACAGCATTCAGTAGAACTATCCAATGTACTGTTGTTATATAGTTTCTATTTAACTTTTCAAGTCTCTAGGCCTTGTCTTCCCTGCTATCTATCCAGTTGGAAAGCAGTCTTATATTTTGTGGGGGTTGGATGTGTTTTCTTTCCCATCTTTTGGGTGTTCACCCCTCCAGTAGATACTAATGCTGTTTTTAGTCCACATAACTTAGGGGCAGGGGAACCGGGTCTGGACAATCATCTTGCCAGAGGGAAGGTATATGACTCAAGGTTGGATATGCAAATCCTCACCAGAACAAAGCTGACTGATGTCTGAGATGGCTGTGTTTAAGGCTGTGTAACCTGGAACACTGGAAGGGCCATCTTTGCCTCCTCCAGGGAGATCCTGACTATGAGTTGGAACAACATCGAGGAACACAGAGCCAATAGATATAGAAAGAGGGCCCCTGAGGACGTTGTTTGTTTGTAGATTCCATCTTGCCTCAGAGGGGTATTCTGTGGATCTTCCGATTTTATGATAAAAAGATTGAGGAAATAGATTCTGTCTTTAGTTTATTAAAATTAGTTTGCTAGTTGCATCGACTACCAATTATACATCTAATATATGTATTTCAAATCAAGTTAGTATACGGGATCCTCATTGATGCCACTGACCTTATATAAGGCCCCGGACATAGACAACAACCAATATATATTTATTGCATATATGAATTAGTAAAAAAAAAAATTAAACTCTCAAAATTCACAAGCCCATTCATTTAATCTCTTGTACATTATTGTACCATCCTAGGCAATTCAAGTTCAATTTAAAAGTGTCTTGATAAAGGAACAAATTATTTTTTTAAAGATTTATTTATTTGAGAGAGAGCAGAGAGAGAGGAAGGGGCAGAGGAAGAGGGAGAGAAAATCTTAAGCAGACTCCTCACTGAGTGGGGAGCCCAACATGGGGTTGGATCCCAGGACCCTGAGATTCATGACCTGAGCAGAAAAAGAGTCAGGTGCTTAAGAGGCTGCACCACCCAGGCGCCCCAGGAACAAATTCTTTTATAGAGAAACACATGGTGTGGCCCTGAGGATCTTGTTGGACGAACTAGATTGCTAGAAAACCAGCTTGGGGAGACCAGAGATTCAGCATGGGAAGAAGTGAGATTCTCTTAGGGTAACTAACTTCCTGGTCAGCTCAGTTCCTTAACCTCCCTTAGCACATTCTTCATGCACAAAATGGGAAACACATTTACCTCCCAGGGTCATTGTCAGGCTCAAAGGAGCTCGTTGTTACACGAGCTGAGAATGACACAAATATTTTTTTGTTGAGTTTTTTTTTTTTTCAGATACACCTATTTCAGTTGGTGGTGAACACTCACCTGAGCCTCAGCGTGTTTAAAATGGTCTTTGTAGCCAGATGCACAACAGGAGGCCCATTTCAGAAGGATACATGGAAGCATATGCATCATTTCTGGGTCTGGGATGTGACCTGTGGGGAAATAGTGTCCTCCTCTGTGATATGAAGGGTTGGCTGCACCACCACGTTTATCCCCCAGGACCCTTTGGCTTTGCCAGAGGACAGAGTCGGTGTTCTGCCGCAGACAAGGCTCCTGGCAGGCCCTTGGGCCAACCTGCAGCTCAGCACCTGTGAGCCGCCACTCCCCGGGAGGGGGTGGGGTGGGGGGTGGGCGTGGCGCCAGGCACCTGCTCCCGGACTCCGCTGGAGTCTCGCTCCAGTCCTGCCCCCCGGGACGGTGCAGCTCCGCAGCCTCCCAGCTCAGGAGGGAGCACCCTCCAGGGTGATCAGGAGATCCGGTTTCAGTTCCCGGGTGGGTGGCTCTCAGGTCCCGTTACAAGTCCCCAGGGCTTGGCGGCTGTGCGGGGAGGGCCCGGCCGGGGCCGCGCTCGAGGGAGGAGGGGCCGAGGCTCCCGGGGGCTGCAGGTCCCGGCGGCGCGAGCTGCGGGCCCGGGAGCGCCGCGGCCCCTTTAAGAGCGGGCGCAGGCCAGCCCCGGGGCCGCGGGGGCCCAGCGCGCCGCGCGCCGCCGCCGAGTTGATCCGGCGCAAAAGTTTCCTCCCAACTCCGGCCCCGCGCGCGCCGCCGCCGCCGCCGCCGCCGCCCGCTGCAGCCCGGGGCCTGGGGCCGCCGCCGCCGGGCAGGGCCGGGGCAGGGCCGGGGCAGGGCCGCGGCAGGGCCGGGGCACGCCCGGGGCACGACCGGGGCACGCCCGGGGCACGGCCACAGCCCGGCCCGCAGCTCGGAGCCGCCAGCCGCCGGGCCGGGCCGAGCGGGAGCCGGAGCCCGCGGAGGAGGAGGAGGAGGAGGGGGAGGAGGGGGAGGAGGGGGAGGGGCCGCGGTGCCGCCGCGCCCCCGGGCACCCGCTGCCCGGGACGAGCCCCCCCCGCCCCCGCTCGCCGTCAGCCGCGGGCCCCCGCGGTCGGCGCCGTGCCCGGGGGCGCACACCTGTCCCAGCATGAAGGTGACCGTGTGCTTCGGCAGGACGGGCATCGTGGTGCCCTGCAAGGAGGGCCAGCTGCGCGTCCGGGAGCTCACGCAGCAGGCGCTGCAGCGGTACCTGAAGACCCGGGAGCAGGTGAGCGCGGGCGCGGGCGCGGGCGCGGGGGGGGGCGGGGGGGCGAGGCACCTGCCGGGGGGCCCCGCCCGGGGACGGCGTCGGCCGCTACCTGTGCGCGCAACCTCGGTTGGTTTGCTAACGCCGGTGACCTGGAGGAGGTCTTTGGGCGGGTGGGGAGGGCCTGGCCTCTCAGGGTGGCGGCAGCAAAGGCCGCAGGGCAGTCGCTGGGGGGCCTCGCCGCGGATGCACGACCCGGCGCCCCGATCCACGCCCCCTGCCTCTGAAATCTGGGGCGAAACAAGCTCCCCGGTGCTTGGAATGAGGAGTGAAGTTCGAGAAGCACAGCTTTGGAAGGTGTTCGAGAGAGCGCTGCTCTCAGGCGAGTGTTTGCAGGTGCTGCTTGCTCCAGCTGTGATTTTTTTTTTTTAAGATTTTATTTATTTATGAGAGACACACACACACACAGAGAGAGAGAGAGAGAGAGAGAGAGAGAGAGAGAGAGAGAGAGAGAGAGAGAGAGGGAGGGAGAGAGGGAGAAGCAGGCTCCATGCAGACAGCCCCATGCGGGACTGGATCCTGAGTCTCCAGGATCACGCCCTGGGCACAAGGCAGGCGCTCAACCGCTGAGCCACCTGGGGATCCCCCTCCAGGTGTGATTTTTGACCAGGGCGAAGGCCTGCCCCACTTCCGTCCCTCGGAGTTACAAAGTTGGTTGGTGCCAGTCGCAGACCCTTGGAAGTTACAACTGTTGGGGCCTTTGGGATTGAACTCTTGTGAGCTGTTCGCCCTCAGTGACTGGAACAGGAACTTCGGTGGAAGGATGCTGTTTGCCACCACTAACCCGTCTACGTTTTGAGTATCTTTAGTTCTATTAAGTATTTACTAGCGTGGACACTGTGTCAGGCCCTGTGTGACTACTGGGTAGATGGTTCCCAGCTCTGTCCCTGAAAATCAGAAACAAGTAAAAGTTAAGTGACTATTACTTTTAAGTGTGCAGTGCGTCTTCAGAAGACTTAGCTAGACACTGGAGTTCATGATAGGTGTTTGGGTATCATACTGGGATTCTGTGTCTTGTTTGATTGGAATCTTTAAATGAAGGCATTGAAAAGCACCTTTTTCTTTTTTGAATCTTCAAATGGAACAGTCTACCCCAAATCCTCTTCAAAAATGACAAGTCATAAACTTTTGCATTTGAGATCAGTGACTCTCTTAGTATTTGTTCTCCTGCTTTGAGAACTGTAGAAATGGCCTGTAACACTGCATGAGTACCCTATTCCCCCCACCCCACACTGTTACAATAGTGTATGTTGTCTGGTATTGTGTAATTCAGTTAGGAACTGAGATTTGCACAAGTATCTAATTCTTGGAACTGTGTTTCCCTAACTTTTGGAAGTAAGCTAAGGTTAATAATAACATTATTCTAGACAAATTATTACATGCCATTGAAGGATCATCTTAATGAGATGATCAGTTTACTTTTTTACTAGTACAATGGTACAAATAATTTATACTCTAACATCTTGTGTATTTAGAAGCTTAGAACATGGAGCTGTTCAATAATAGAAGTAAGCTACATACTTATAAATAACATTCAGAGGACTAGATGAAATTCAGTGTGTTATAATTTGATCTTAAAAAGTGTTAGAAAGCTATTGATATCCTGTACCGAAAGCATAATTTATAATACCACAGAACCTATAATGTAATTGTATTGATCAGTTTACTGTTATTACCAGATATTACATTTTTCTATGTTTACATTTCTGTGTTAGTGAATGTGACATTTAAAGGTCACCTGCAGTTTATAAATCCTCCCTCCCTTCTTTGGCTTTTAAAATCTCAATTTAATAAGTGGCAAGTGATATTTTTTCTTCCCCAAATCTCTCTCTCCCATCGTTTCATTTTAATAGTATTGTAATCATAACAAGGCTTAACTAATATTAAATGGTATTCCTAATGGAACTAAAATGTCAAGAAATAATCAGTCAAATTCCATGCTTTCATTCATTGAATATAGAAAATAATGGGAAAAGACCAGAAATGTCAAAATTCAATTTGAAAAACAACTTGTCGTCAGTTCACTTTCTTTAAATCAGTGAAAGATTTAAAAGGCTTGCTCGCCTGGACAGCAAGGTTTTTAGCCCCACACTCAGTAATAAAAACATAACGATAACATGAATTGTGCTTACTCTCTGCAGGCAGTGTTGTAGGACCTTTACGTAAGTTAAATGGCCTCGTGAAGCAGGTACTGATATTTTCTTTTTACAGATGGGGGCAGAAAGAGACAGGAATATGAGTGACATGTGGTAGAATTGAACCCAGGAACCGAGTCTCTGGATCCTTACTCAGAGTCGCTGTGCACAGCCCAGTAGGTTATTATGCATTGGAATTTATCCATCTTATTTATTTTTTAGTTTGTTTTACAAAGGCCATCCCATTTACAAGCTACTGTAGTAACCTATCAACCTAAAGATGGCCATTTTGTTTCTTGCAGAGACTTGTGACCTGCACAGGTTCCTCTTGATTATATCTTATACAGTATAGGCCTACATGTAATGGGGAGAAGTCTAAATTCTGAGCCTAATATTGGAGGATTTGCAAACCAAGCATGAAGAACATTCCTCAGTCTGATTACAAATAGAAAAATGGGCAAAATCTCTTAGGTATTCAGGTAGAGAGTGCTATAAGGAAGTAAATATGCCAGGAACATGAATATAAACTAAGCCCATTTCTTTTGGGGCCTTGAATAATTTGGATGAGAGAAAGGCAGATTTCAAAATCAAAGATAGAGTTGAGGTATCTATAGTTTGGAGGGTAAGTGAAGCCCAAGGAGCCATTCTGGATTTTGGGGACAGCATCAGGGAAGTAAGTATTCACCTTCTGCTGAGAGGAAACAAATAAGACTGGTATTTGGGGAATGCGAGGAACCAGCTGAATCAGCATCAGATAAGGCCAGAAGTAGGTAAGATACTGAGGACACCAAGGGAACTTTTGGGAAGGCTTTAATTATTTTCTGAAATCTGGGACTTTGAGTTTCCTGCTGCCTTCCCCTCCACGACATTCAATGAACTTTACTGGGAAGGTAAATTGACTATGGGGCAAGAATTATGGGGTTGCTTGCCTTTGGATCCTGGTAGTTTATCAGTGTCCCAAGCTCTAAATCCAATTTACTTAAGTAGTTAGTGGAGAGGAGATTGTCTTCTTAAGCACTCAAGGTGGTGATGATTGGGTAACTAGTTAAATTTATCATCAAAATTACGTGTCACAGGTGAATGGTAATTGAGCCATATCCTGTGAGAACTCTAAACCCTGGCTGCTCATTAGTTACCTCTAATTTATCATTTAACATTTTAAATAATACAAATGCCTACATCCTTTTCTCCAGGATTCTAATTCATTGAGTTTGGAGCGGAGCCTGGGCATAGGTGATTTTAAAAGGTGATTTTAATGCCTAGCGAGGGCTGAGACCTACTAATCAACTACCGAAATCATTTGGTATCACCGAACTCCTTTGATTTTAAACTCTTTTGATGGCAGATACTGTGGTTTAGACCTCTCCAGACCAACCTGTCATTAGCAATTGTCCCTCTTACCATGAGTGAATTCGCACAGCAGGTGCTCAAAGTTTATTAAATTGAACGTTCATTTATATATATGTAAATAAATAAATATATATACACACACGTCAAATGCAGACACACACTAGGAGAAGTCAAAGCGAATAAGGGAAAGACTTGTTTAATAATAAGAATGTATAGTATGTTCAGGAGTCAAAATGGATGAGATAATAAGAATATGGAGTTAATGGGATAGTGGATATGCTGGAATTTTAAACAGATTTGTGGATTTGACTATATGAGAATACCTTTTTTTTTTTTTGAAGGAACATTTGATAGACTTGCCAAAATGAATCTTTTCTGTGTTCAGATATTTTGAATAATTTGTTTTACTGTTGAGACCAGCTTCCCAAATCTGAGTGAGATAAGAGTAATAATTCCATTTTCTGATAAATTCTGGGATCAGCATCTAAAATTCATACAGTATCAAGAATCTGGTGTGCTATTATTGTATGAGCTTAACCTGGAGGAATGGGCTGGAAGTCCTAAATTCTTGAACTTTTCAGGTTTTGATGTCTTATTTGCAGAATTTAAGGTTCCTGTATACATAAACTAGGACCATATTAGATTCCCAAAATGCTTTTCAATTTATTGGACACTGGCTTGACTGTTTCATTTTCTATGCAGTCCCCTCACCTCCCCTTGCCTCTCCTCGTATGTGGACTTGATGCTCTCCCCAGCACGTGGATAGACTGATTCACCACCAGCAGGGCACACACTGCTAGCTTGGTTTTGGTTCTGCTACTTGACTTGCGCAGAAGAGCCTCCGAGTTTGCAGAAACAGGGCTACTGGGTCCTGCCATGACCCACAGACGTGTTTTTTCAGTTCTGCTCAGTATCACATTTTGACTTAGTTGCCATCTTTAAAGATTCTGAGACTTCATGCAGAGATCCAGATTTCTGCCTTCTCTGGGTGAAAAATAAATCAGAAGCTCTGACAGTATTGGGCTTTACTTTCCTACCTACCAACCATCATTTGGAGATGAGACACCTCTCTTCTCTTTGGAAGGCATCATTCTGCTCTCCACTCCAGTATGTTACTGAAGTATGTTACAGTATGTTACTATGTCAGACATTTTACTCTTGTTATTTCCTTATTTATGGCCCATTGTCATTCTTCGGGTTGTTGTAGGCATTTGGGTTTGTGTCCCCTGGATTTTCTCTTCCCCATTACACCGTTTTCTCTTCCCTCCTATACCTCCCTCTGTCCCATCCCCCATGCCTCTCTCTTATCCCCCTGCCTATGACCCTTTCTCTCTCTCACCCACGACCCACAGACTGAGCCCCCAACCCCTCCCCCCAACCCTTCTCCTGTGAGCTACATACAGAATTCACTGACCAGGTTTGGGACTGCCGTTTGGTTCCTCTGAGCTAATTGCCTGATGTGCAATTGGGAGTCAC